GGGGGGGGGGCGTTCTCTTTGTTGCTGTCCGTTATTCTTTTGACCATGACCCAGAAGTCCTTTTGGGGGGGGGGCCCGTTTCTTACACTGATTAGAGACACCCCCAACTTTGGGGCCTTTTTTAGGTTTTTGCCCCAAATTCCATAAAATTTTTTGGCACTTTTTCCCGGGGGGGGGGGGGGGGTACTGTCAAGATGGCAGACAAGAAGCACACACCAGGTAACGACTCAAGTGAGGACACACATATCTTCATGATCACAAACACACGACTTGCCAAAAACCCATGCTCCGGCAGAGGTGAGCGAGAGGAAGCGCTTTTGCGTAGAAGAACACCAGTGCACACGGCCTTGCCTCCGTGCCGTGCAACCAGACAGCACCAACCACGACAGAAAAAAAATGTCCGGGAAGGGTTCATCCATCGCCAGCGGCCGCCCGGACACAAAGAAAGGACTCTCCTTGCATTTCACATAAAACACGACACGCCAATCAAAATAAGCGTCCTTTCTTCCCAGGGGTAAGGCGACGACCACGGCGACGCCAACGGCAACGGCAACGGCAACGGCAACGGACACGACAAAGATACCGACGAAAACCGCCAGACAAGTCCTCGTCCCCCATACGGCGCCGAAAAGGAACGTGGGACGTTAGGAGTAAGCAGTGGCCGCAACCTCACTCACATGCTAAGTCGCTCATCGTTAGCCGGCTGGTACTCCGTGTACGCCGCGCCCGCTCGCAGCAGGGTGGTGGCGGCGCCGGTTTTGAACCCGTCGTCGAGGTCGAGGCTGCACGCTCGAAGCACCTCCGGTGAGGTTTCCTCCTCGAACCCTCGGAGCTCCCAGAAGCTCCGGATGTACTACGATGCGGGAAAATTACGCGATACAAAAAAAAAAAGGCGTCAGGCAGGGGGATGTGGGGGGGCATGTAGCGGCTGGAGGGGAAGAGGACAACAGGAGAACGCGCCCTCCAGAGGACGGAGCGGAGGGTAGGGGAGGGGGCGGGTACTCATACTCATGTGAACGCATGCCGTATATAGTGGTTGGACCATTGACCGGCATAAAATAGAAAAACCGCCGCCGCTGGCCATTGAAAACAGGATTCCGGGAGCAGGGCCGGAGGTACTACCGACTTCCTCAGCTGTCACATCTCACCACAGAGGGGGGGGTTGAGCCCAGAAACGCAGTATTACAGCGGAATAAACAAAGGGGGGGGGGGGGGGGGGGGGGGGGNNGGGGGGGGGGGGGGGTGACCTCCACGAGCACAAGCCACCAAAGCGGCATAATCAAGGAAGGGGTAGCCGCAGGGGGGTAGCCTGAGCGGCTACTACAATCGAACGTCGGATCGAGACCTTAACTTCCGTGGGCAACCCAGATGCCCAAATGTCCAAACGCCAAATAAGGGAACGTGCCCCGTCATGACAGGGGTACGTTTGCATCGTTGTTGCGGGCCAATAAAACCCAAAAACAATTAATTATATATAGGGGTGTTTGATTTGATTTAATTAATTGTTTTTGGGTTTGGGGAGTACATATCATGCTGAGCTCATGATATCCCAACTGCGGACTTATCATCCGCCGTCCCGCAAGTCCCTGATTCCTCACCAATTCAGAGCTGACAAATAATTCCACCCCGTGCGCCTCTGCGATGCCCTTAACGAAATTGGTTAAGCTTGTCGCGAGCCCCTGCTTCCGAAAAACCTGTCCATGGCCGCGAGAGACCCGCCAGATCAACGCAGTGAGGTGGGGGTTGAGCGACAGAAAGCCTCGTATCGATTGGCCTCGTTTGTTCCAATGTGAGGGGAGTAGGGTGCGGCACGGGCAGAGGTGGCAACAAAAAGCAAGAACGATCGACGGCTGGTTGCTATCCGTGCTGCAGTAGCACGCGAAACGAACGGGTTCGTTTTCCAGATCGATCGATCAAGAAGGGGGGAAACCAAAGCGCACGGTGCACGCGACGTAGCCGAACTTGTTTGAGTTCAACAACAACAACGACGACAACTCGCTAAGCGCGGCGCAGCACGGAAGGCCGCGCGCGGTGTGGTGTGGTGTGGCGTACCTCCAGCGTGTGCAGCTCATCGATGATGAAGGCCGTCGGCGTCCGCAACGGAGCTTGGAGCCTGCAAAAAAGAAGGGCACAGCGACGGCAGTGGGAGAACCGAGGGCAACGCAGAGAGAGAGAGAGAGAGAGAGAGAGAGAGAGAGTGGGAGAACCGAGGGCAACGCAGAGAGAGAGAGAGAGAGAGAGAGTGGCGCAAGATGGCGGTAAGGAAGAGTGTTGTTACGTACATCATTCACGGGGGCAAGACGATACGAAGAAGAACAAGAGGCATTGTGCTCGTAACGTTTACGTGATTAGGAGGTAGACGCAGGTCATTCCACGAGTCACGTCTGCAACAGCCACAAGCACGTGGATAAATCGCAGCACGACCGTTGTTTCTACGTCTGTTTCTTTGGGGCGAGAGCGTGTTGCGACATTTTTCTGTATTGTATCTTGTGTTGGGGGGGGGCATGCGGGGCGATGGTTAGTGCCCATGGCGGCCTCAATCTCCACAAAGGAACGCAAAAAAAACATTCGGGTCGTACGCGGATCCAAAGTTCGGGCTTTTGGGGGGCACTGCAGCCTTTTAGGTATGTACATAACCGCGTTGTAGACATATCGAAGTGTCGGGAGTCAAAAAGGTTGCTTTCCATCCATCCGCGTGGGCGGGGCGGGGTGAAAGCAATTTTCGTGAAGCTTGCCGGCAAAAAGCCTGTGGAACCTGCTGGACATGAATACCACGCCTACAACGTGCCACAACCGACGTATTCCGGCGTTGACGCCAGTAGCAACGCGGAGTAATTTCATGTTTCAACGTTGTGTCGAACACAGGCCGGCATCATGGCCTGGTGGTACACATCGACAACAACACACCATGGTCAACACAACTACACTGTTCGTGCCACATCGTGGAAATATTTTCCCCAAGGCCAACCTCGGCCCTTGTACGTAGTAGTGGACCCAAGCAGCAGCTGATGGAACGAAAGAAGGCTCGGCAGCTTATGAACTGCAGCTGAATGAACAAGGTTCTTAACATGCTTCTGTCGCTTGCCATACGCGCGCGGCAATGCCACCATCGCCGTCGCCGGCGGCGGACAAAAACAAAGGACTCCTCCACCAGGAACATGATAACCGCAACGGAAATTTAGGCATGGACAGCAGGGGGACGCATGCGCGGACGGTATGTTCTGAACGGCAGAAAGTTGATTTCAAGATTACAGGGAGGTATGCATACAAATCTGATCAATTTAGTGAAATTGCACAAATAAATTTTGCTGCGGGGTTGAATATTGAGGCCGCTCTCGGGAAAAGGGACGTGATTGTGTGTAATTTTTCGGGGGAATGCTGTTATTCCGTTGTCTGCATATGTATGCATGCATGCATTCGGTATGCTTCAGCTATGCGTGCTCTTGCAAGACTACTGCTGCTGTACGTAGGTCCTGCTTAGGGAGGGGGACAGAGGCGGACTGGCCATGTGTTGTATTCTAGGTACAGTACCTAAGGGTGGTACGCAAGATGAAGTATAGCTACACACCAGCTTTTAGGAGGGGGGGGGCATTGGAAGAAGCGCGGCGACTCGGCCAACCGGAAAACAACATTTCGGCCGCCGCGAACAAGCGCGAAACATGTGCGTTGTGGGACATGATGTGCGGATAATCTGAAAATTATTTGGCGGAGCAAGACGGCGAAGAAGCACTGGGACAGAGAGATACTTTCTACCGCCCGTGCGTGGGTTTATCTCTAACGCGGGTAGTCTTTCTTCTCTCTCTTGTGACTGCTCTGGGTGTGCATCCCTCCGCTCATGGGGTGAAATCTTCCCAAAGAACCACGTTTCAAAAATATGCGGTGATCATGTCCAGGCGTTCTTTCTTTCCGCCAGCCCCCAGCAGTGTTCGAATGCGAGCATGTTCACCAACCAGCAGAGAGACAGTCCCTTCATGCACCGCCGACCGTGTATGCTGTGCACGAGACTGCCAGGCAATGGTGCTAAGACCCGCCCCAGGGACACGAGACTGGGACTTCAAATCAAATCAGGCGTGCTACACTCTGAACTACCTCTCAGGACATGCGAGTACGTTTGTGTGGCATCTCTCTCTCCCTGTGAGCCGGCTGCTTAGACGGCGTACTTTGATGTGTCTGCTCTAAATAGGCGAACCGAACACACGACTCTGCTCACCCCTCTTTCAGCACAGCTCGTAGAGCGGCAATAGTTGTCCGCATCTGATCCGTCACCACGAAATATACCAGTCGGTACGGCTCCTGTCGCCACGGGCAGGGGGAGAACGGGCGACGCTTGAGAGAGAGGATGGCAAAGACAACCCAAACAGCCAGCAGGTTGCCGCAGCAGTACTGCTGCGTGCGGTGTTCCTACCGCAAAGTCCGGTGGCGCGCGTAAAATAATTTTTGAAAGCAACACAGCGAGCGCACAGCAGCGCCCTACCAACTACACATTGCTTCGTCAGCAGGACACATACCTCCATTCGCGGGGGAAGCTCTGCAGCGACCCCGGCTATCGCTGCCATGTTCCTCACTAGCCTGGGCGTGTGTCCATAACGAACAACAAACTCCGAAAAGGGGGTGGTGAGCTCCTCCCCTTCCGCCGGCATGCGAAAGGCGTCCGTAGAGGAGGCACCACCGTCCATCTTTTAGTGACACGGGTGGCGGCCAATGGGCTACTCTGGACGGCTGTGGTGACCACCGTCGACGAGAAGCACACAAAACACACACACACACAAGGCAACTGTAGACACCGCACCCACCGCCCTCGAGGGGGGCACCGATAGGGGGTTCGCTGGAATGTACATTTACCCAGGGCACCCCCCTCATATACTTCTGCTCCTGCAGGATCCAGATCAGAGATCTATTCTACCATAATCCATGGAGAGCTCTCCCACGCAGCTCAGCCTCTGACTGACTGTTTTGCTTTGCATTTAGACCAGGTATTGGTCATGGTCTCTCGATTTCGCCGTCCGTGGCTCATTGTCATCCATACGTCCGCCCAACAAAGTAACAATATGCCCCCCAGGGTTGTCCGCCCACGGCTGTGGTGCCCTTTGGGATCTTGGAATCCACTGCTGGGTTCTTCGGCTCAAAACGGCGTTCCCATTCTCCCTAATGACGACGCTTGCTTGCTGGTGGTGAATGCCTGCGCGGCCCCCGAAGCCGCCGCTACCTGCTGTCGTCATGTTGGCGAAGTGCCAGCACACCGCCTCACCAGGCTGCGGGCAACGCGCACTCAGGTGTGGTGAAACCGCTGAGTGATTCAAGGGCCGGTCCAAACAGCAAGCCGTTCCTAAACAGGATCGATGGAAAAAGATCAAATGCATCGATCGGTTCTATGATGCAGCATAGGAACAGTAGAAGAAGCGAGGCGATGACGAACGGGCGGACGGTCACAGCATGGGAGTGACGCGACTTCGTTCATCCGAAAAAGCCAACCCGTTCTTTCGGAACGGTCTCACTTGCATCGCATCACGTTTTCCGTGGGTTCGGGCAGAAGAAAACGCTGTGCCGATCATCAATTGATGTGAGGCTAATGTAAGAAGAAGCCTCTCGGAGGTATGTAGATTGCAGTATTTAGAAGTAGTATACATGAGTTGTCCACGAACGACATGGCCAGGCGCTGGGGGATCAAACATCCGCACCGTTTCATGCGCACCACACTTGCCTGCAGAGAAAACGCTTCGCCCGTCCAGAAGAACGCCATGAACATCAGCAGTATCGCCCCCCCGCGACGTTACGATGATCGCTTTCTCCACGACGGCAAGGGCGGCTACGCCACAGAGCACCTACGCAAACGCTCATGTACCGGTACGCCTACAAATCGCCGCAAAGAGCATAGCATCCTGCCACACCTGCTACTGTACGTTTTCCGAAAAGCGTCCCTCACTTTTTCTTGTTTGGCCCGCGCCGTCGCGGGGCGTGGGCGCGTTGTCGCTACGGCGAAAACGCCCCGAACAGGAGACGAGCGCGATCTTCATACTGCACTATTAATACAGCTGTTGCACTGACAACCACTGCCTCCTTTCGTGCCCCCGTGCCGTTCGAGAAATACGTGGGCGTGGCGCCACCGAGAGAGCCCTCGACAAATTCTGGTAGGTGACGGTAAAACATCGTTGGGAGGGGGGTGGCGTCGTGGCGGTAGCAAACCAGCTGAGCCAAAGTGACACCTTCCGAGGATTGTTGTTGTGGACGTTGATGTTGTTGGTGTGTTGCCGTTGCCTGTTCAGAAGAAACCGCTTCCGATCTCCGATCTCTGCTCCACCCTTATAAGCTTGGTCCAACCGACGCGGACACCTTCCGTCGTCACAGGCTAACCAGCCCAGAGGGGGTGCATTGGTCCCAACGATCAAAGGCAAAACAAAAGATCGAAAAGAATGAGAAAACAAAAATCAACGAAAACACGCCATAACTACAGAACTAGAAGCTTGTCGCCGACAGACAGCAGGTGACATTTCCGACGAACGAGATCGATGCAAGATATCTCGACAAAACACAAAAACCCACCGCTCCCACTCCACATACAACTTTATAGGAAGAGGCTCCACTCGCCCAGCCTCCTGCTGACTTTACTTGGTGTACTCTTAAAAAAAAATGGCATGATCAAAATGGCGGGAACTATGCTTGACATGGGAGGGGCGCGCAGCACACACAGCAGACGCAAAAAACGAAACGGTTACAACCAGACAACCTTCCTACAAGTCCGCAAAGAACGCCTCATTCGCCGTCGGAAGCTTGCCCCGCCCGCCGCCTCCGCCGTCGCCGTCACCGCTGCCGCCACCACCTTTCCTTCCCCCCTTTGCCCCCCCGCCCCCACCACCCATATCGCTGTCGTCGCTGTCTTCGTCGTCGCTGTCGTCATCATCTCCGTCGTCGGCCCCCCCCGCGCCTTTTCCGCCGCCGTCGCCCCCGTGCCCATCTGAATCGGTGTCCATGTCGGGGTTATCGGTTGCTGATGCTGCTGCAAGAAAGGGAGGGCAGGGAGGGCAGGGAGGGGGGGGGGGCGTACTCTTATGTTTTGGATTCCTTAACGGTCAGACCATTGACCACGCGTCCTCGAGAGGAGGGGGAGGGTAGGGCCAGTATGTTTCAAACGTTGAAATATGGCCAAGGGATTTGGCCAGCCTTTTTGCCCGGGCACCCATCACTATGCAGAAAAACGAGGCAGATGACAGCGTGGATACTCCGGCGGTGCCACGCGATTTCACCGGCCGTATGCAAGGACTACTACCAATGAAGATGTGGGGAGGGGGGGGCTCTCGGTTGAGGCTGTAAATAATCCGTTGAAAGCCAACAGGACCACTAGTGCCGTATCCAGAATACATGCAGCAGGTCCCGCTGCGTTGTTTTCACCTTCCCGCGCCTTTTGCACATACGAGATTTCGCACTTCCAACAGCCTCCACCCGCCAACTCTCTTATCTTCCCCACACGTGTCACGCGAACGTTAAAGCGGCAGTATATACTGTTGGGATGTAGAGCTCGAGGCTCTAACCTGTTGGGATGTAACCTTATGATAGGTGTATCCCTGGATGTGGCACTGTGTAATAACAGTGTGCAGAGGCTCACAGAGAGTGACTGTAAAGTACACTTGTGTTGTAGACCAGATTGATGGTTTGAATTGGCGCTTAAGTGGCCGAAAGGTATGGAAGAGAAGAGGAGTCCTGGGACTCGCAAGAGTCCCGAAGGACTTGGAAGAGGCCAAGGGCCTTGGAAGAAGAGAGAAAGGAAGGAGAGAGATCGAGAGGGGGCAAGCACCACAGGGGGCGAGCCTCCAAGCTATCACGGAAAGATGCACGCATACGGACTATTGCAACGTACCGGTCACGGTAACAGTCGGTTAATCCGACCTATAGAACCAATCCAAGAATATCCTACTGGACAATGGTCCGATGTACCATACTCCTATGGTTCAACATATAACCCGTAGGTGTGTATAATCTACCGAAGACTCTTCCGGTAATACTACTCAGGTGCATACCTACGTGCTGTGTTACAGCAGTAACAATACGTATGACTGACATTGAGTATTCCAACATATACCCCGGTCCATTTGCTGGAAATTCCGAGCCGCCCCTTCACCAGCTCTGGCAAGAGCCAAAAAACAACCAAGGGTTGCCCGCCTGCTTACCTCCTCTTCCACCCTGTCCTGCCCCCCCGGTAGCATGGTTGCTGCTCGCACCGGCGGACTGCTCTGCCTCTTTTTCTTCCTCGTCGTCGTCGTCCTCCTCGAAGAGGTACCCGGCGTGCCAGAACCGGATGTTGTTGTCGTGGGAGACGCTGCCAATCCACATCTTGTCCCGTGAGAACTTGATTCAAAAACCACGCATAGTAGCAAAAATCGCGGGGGGGGGGGGGGGCAAACAAAAAAATTCTTAAACAAGGGAAATAAGCAATGCTCCAAAAAACCAAAAAAACTGGAACCACCACCAAAAACAAACACCA